GTAGTAGTAGTAGTAGTAGTAGTAGTAGTAGTAGTAGTAGTAGTAGTATTAGTATCATTAGTATTATTATTATTTGTCATTTTTTTATCATTTATACCTGAATATTTGCTTCTGATGCTTTCTGAGATCTCCTGTGCCGAAGTCGAAACACAGATCTGGTGTTCTTTAGATAGATTAAAGACACCCACTTCAACTTTGTGATGATTTCAACAACAAAAAAATGTCCCTTGCTCACTTAAGGAAACTGAGAACCCTGCAAAAGTTRCAGAATGATCCAGAGACTTTTTCCAAGACTCCTTCAGAAATGCTTAATGGCAGCTACACACAGCCCAATAGGATAACAGGTCACTACAAAAACCAGCAGACTGCMTCTTTAAGGTTCATGATTGACTATAAACTCAGAGTCAAACAAATCAACAAAATCCATAAAAGAGCACACTTAAACAGATAAGAGCTTCACACTTGATATAAGTCAAAGCTCCATCTGAGGAAATCCCCCCTTTTTTTTCTTCCTCTGCCCTCCCACATCCTTGACTGCTGGGACTTTCTCTCAAGCTGCTTCCTGTCTTCTGGACCATGCGGCTCTCTGAGTAGCCTGCGGGGCTTTGGAGGAATGAGAGCATCACTGAAAAAAATTTTTTTTAAAGGAGAGACCTTCCATCTCCCACGGACAGCCTGAGGAGCCGCAGCAACTGTGTGCCAATCATTGTGAGCAAAGCCYGCTTTTCAAGAAATTAAAATGGATAAATATGCTAATGTGTGCAAATCAGTCCCTCTTGCTGCTAGCATAATAACTGTAATTATTATCTGAAAGCGGGCTGCGCAGACGCAGGTTGCCACGAAGCAAAGGATAGCTGACACGAGGGCGAGCATGTCTCACCAGCTTTGGATAAAGGCAGAGAGAAAACCAAATATAACTCTGAGACAAAAGCGTTTGTTTCTGCCCCCTCAGTGCTGTTTGTTTTGGGCAGGATATGCTGGCTCCTTTTATGAGTTCTGGATGAATGGTGTTTGGGGTGAAGCAATGCAGAAGTGCAAAAAAAAAAAAAAAATTCCCCACCCCACGCTCTGCTTTGTAGCCTCAGAAAGAAAGAGCTGCAGTAGCAGGGGGAATTAACACAGGAAGTGAATATGAGGCTGCGATGATGTCGCCARTC